ATCAACACAAAGACTTCAAAATTGGACTTAAACTGTGACCTACATAAACTTACTTTATTCTCTTGTAGAGTGATGAAATAGGACTTTAGCGGACTCCATTAGTTATATTTTGAAATAAAATAACGAGGCTTAGAAAATCTAAGCCATTACAAATTGACACACCCACAAATTCAAGCAAATAAAATTAAACAAGAGCTTCGTAAAGCGATAGTATGCAATACAGTTTTTGATTGCGATTGCTTCTAAGAAATAATTTGTGAGTTCTTGATTATAAGTCAGTTTATCATTCAACGTATTATAGGTGAAAATTGATAGAAATTAAGTCAAAACATTTAATTCTTTTTCTCTGTTTAACTTTTCCACATTCAAAAAATGGAAACATTTATTACTAGTGAATTTCGATAAATTCTCTCAGTTTACTTGCCAACTACTCCCTCCATTCACTTTTACTTGGCATGTATACTAAAAATAGATTTTTATTATTACTTGTCACTTTACGCACATCAAGAGAAGACAAAAAATATTTCCTTTTATACCCACAGTATTTATTAGTCATTTCAAATTATTTCTCAAATCCAATAAAATATGCATCAATTAATATGAGTATCATCGTAAATTATGCACGTCATTTATTATTTTTTAAGGGGCGTGAGAAATCAAAACGTGCCAAGTAAAAGTGAACGGAGGGAGTATGTGAAAGAGTCTTTTCCTTAACGTCTATGCCCTACAATGCATTGGATGCTTCGATGTCTTATCAACACAAAGAACTCAAAATTGGACTTAATTCTTCAAATGAATTATAATTCATGAATTGTGCCTTTATAGTATATGCTAGCTCGCCATTTCGGAATCTGCTATTTTTTTTTCATGGTTAGGTCTATAACAAGTTTAGTCGCAACTCTATTTCCTTTTGAGTCAGATTCAACATTCTAAACAAAAGAAGCACAAATAAATGAGAGAAATAAAGAAGAAAAATATACAATTGAAATAAATAATTATATATATGATTAAACTCAACTTACAAACAAATGTACCTTCCTTCCTTATAAAGAATGTTATAGCATAGGATTACACTCAACTATAAGGAGAAAAATCCAGTAAAAGTTAAAATAAAATCACGGTCAAAAGAGTTAATACCCTCATACACACCTAAACTATACAATTTTTGTCAGTTTCATACCTAAACTATTGGGTGTCCCCGAAAACCCCCTGAACTATATCATCCTTTGTAAGTAAACCCCCCTGTCGTATTAGCCGTAGTGCGTGTGATACACGCTCTAATTAAACTATAAAACATGCCATGTGGCATGCCACATGGATAAATAAACTAAGAGTTAATATCCTCATATCCGCCTAAACTATACGATTTTTGTTAGTTTCATACTTAAACTATTGAGTGTCCCTGGAACCCCCCTGAACTATATCCCCCTTTGTAATTAAACCCCCCGTCACATTAGCCCTAGTACTTGTATCCAAAAAACGTCTTCCGGGTTAGCATTTGTCGTTGATGTTTTCAAAGAAGCGGCTTCCCACAACCACAAAACACATTAAACCTCATGACTTCTACAATGGGTATTCTTCTTTCAAATTTATTTGGGTAACAACGAACGATGGATAAAATGAGAAAGATAAAAAAATAAACTTGATAAATAGAGAGAGAATTTCAAAAGGATTAAGATGAAAAAAGAGATAAAAAGGGTGAAGAAATGGTAAAGAAATGGAAAAAATGGTGTAATATAAAGAAAAAGAGAATAAAATATAAGTTTTTTACCATCATAGGGGTTGCTCTGATGGTAAGCAACCCCCACTTCCAACCGAGAGGTTGTGAGTTCGAGTCTCCCCAAGAACAAGATGAGAAGTTCTTGGAGGGAAGGATGTCGAGAGTCTATTTGGAAACAGCCTATCTACCCAAGGGTAGGAGTAAGGTCTACATACACACTACCCTCCACATAAGCGATTAGGGGTTTTGATTACAAAGGAGGATATAGTTCAGGGGGTTTCCAGGGACACTCAATAGTTTAAGTATGCAACTGACAAAAATTATATAGTTTAGGAGGGTCTGAGGGTATATTAGCCATTATTGAAGCTGCCAGGTGGGCCCCATTCATTGATATTTTTCACTGTTCACGCGCTCGCGCGCATGTGATTTCACACAATATGCCACATAAACGACGGGGGGTTTACTTACAAAGGAGGATATAGTTTAGGGGGTTTCCGGGGATACCCAATAGTTTAGGTATGAAACTGACAAAAATCGTATAGTTTAGGTGTGTCTGTGGGTATTAACTCTGGTCAAAATGATGCAATTTCACATAATTCATCTTCACCACCACTATACATTGATCGATTCACATATAAATGCAAGAACATGGAATGATCAGATGTTACCTTTTCCCATCAGGATTGAAAGCCAAAACATTTATTGGTCCAAAACAGCTGAAGCATCCTTATCGTTTCCCAAAACCACCTATTAAACCATGAGAACCATTGGATTAGAAAGATATCATTTACAGCTTGTTTGGATACATGCTGTAATGGCGTTGAGAACTAATGATATCATTTAAGTTGAAAGTCCAAAAATGCAATTTCGTTTCTGTTTATAATGTATATAAGATTTGTGAAGAAAATGGCATAACAGATTCCTAGCCACTTAAACTTAGTAAGATTTTTAAAAGCTGATACATGAACTTTCAACTTTCTCATTTGAACACTCTGAACTCATGTTTTCTGTAATTAATAAACACATTTGACGATTGACTATGTGCGCGTGTATTACACATACACATACGTGTCCATCCAGTCAGCAGATGACCAATGAATGTCTTACACGTCAAGGACGCGAAAACCCTAACCCAACAGAGATCGGGGTCCCCTCTTTTATTCCGTAGGCCGATCCCCTCCCCTTATTTTAACCTCTCTCTAACCAAACCCTCCCTTATTAAACCTGTGTTACCAATGGGCTAACATTTACTCACCACCTTCTAAAATCGATCATAAGCACTTACCTTTTTTTGTTTTCGTTTATTATATGTTAATCTCGTTATGATTGAGCTTCGTTTGGTCTGTGCTTTCTATTCCAGTGATGTTATATGATCTGAAGGTTCGTTTGTCTCTTTTCAATTCCATTATTTTCATGGCCTGGAAAAAGAGAAAAAAAATAGAAGTGGAGCTTCAGATTTTACAAAAATGGAGGAATGGAGCTTCAGATTTTTTTTTTTAAAAAAAAGGAGGAATATGGTAGTTTAGAAGGAATGAATAAGAAGACACTTAAATACAACTCTTTTTGTACCATTGGACGTTGGGAAGAGGGCTTTCACGCTCTTGTGTGTCGTGTTCCTCATACGGTCTGCTGATTAGGACCAACTGATGTCACATGGTCAGGATCAATGATCAAATGTGTTTATATTAGTTACCAAAAAAATGAAATTCTATTGTTCAAATGAAAAGTTGAAAGTTTTTTTAAAAACTCTACAAGTTTAAGCGGCCAGTAAGCCATTCTGCTGAAGAAAATCCTTAGTAAATCGATTTTTTCGAGACGTGGCTTAATGTAGATCAGTTTAAGTATAGGTGTTAAACTAGCCAGGTCAGCCCGGTTCCGGACCGGCCCAGACCGGTTAAAATCGGAACCGGCCCGGACCGGTTAAAGGGGGCTGGGTTGGGCTGGGTTAGGGGGGTCATGCGGGTTGCTCCGTTTAAGTTTGAAATACCGGTTATCCGGACCAGTCCAACCCGTTAAGTGAACAGTGATCATAAACCAGTTAACCGGCCCGGCCCGGACCGGTATAACGGTAAAAAAAAATTAATTTTTTTTAAAATTATTAGACGTATTTATGCTTAATGTTTTAGTTTGTTAGATTAATTTGAATTATTATTAATTTATTATGCATGAAAATTTAGTTTTACTATTTTTTTGTTAATTTACTTTTTAAATGCAAACTATAATTTTGAAATTTTGAAATAAATGTAGCACTTGCAATTTATAAGTGCAATTTTTTTTCATCTTCCTTGTATTCTTTATATTAATACAAAGTATTAATATAACCTACAATAGTCATACAAAATACAAAAAAAAAAAAAAAGACACTAAACCCGGCCCGGTCCCCCCTCAATCCGCAACCCTTACGGTTCAATTTTTACCCGGATGAACCCGAACCCGTTAAACCCGGTAAGCCCCAACCCGTAACCGGCCCGGACCATAACCCGTACGGGTCCAAAATCCCAACCCAGCCCGACCCGGCCCGGCCCACCCGTTTAACACCCTTACTTTAAAGTAGCGACCTATATGGGTGTGCATTCGATTTATCAATTCAATTTTGACCTTTATCGATAATTACTTATCAATTTGTACATATGCTTATCGTTATCGTTTCAATCTAGTTTCGATTTTTTCGATTTCGATTTATCGAGTTTTGGGGCTTATTGATTAGGTTATCGATTACATCAATAAGAAAATTTGGGGGTTTCCACGGAAAGCATATCGCTATAAACACACCTAACTAATATGGACAAAAAGAAGCTAAAATAAGACGATCACCGTTTATAACATAAAAAATGTGTCAACAAGCACATGCAGTGAAATTAAAGTAAGGGATCAAATGTATGCCACCAACACTCCAACGGTATAAAAAAAATATATCATCACGGCTAATTCTATTTTCTATTAATTTGAACTTCATTCTCTTAAGCTTTAAATATGATCATTCCTTAAATGTGGTAGATGAAATAATAGGGTTAGGGACTTGGTATAAAGAAAAAGGTATTATAGAATAAGGGCGAAAAAAAAGTAATTTTTTTTTTGTTATATCTTATCGGTTTATCGATAAACCGATAACCGAAGAGGACAAAATCAAAATCGAAATCGATAAGAAAAATTTCGAAATCAAAATCGATAAATCGATAATAAATAATCGATTCGATTTATCGATAAATCGATTCGGACACACCCCTAGCGACCTAGACGTTCAGAGTCTCATGCGGCTAACGTCTCAACAGGGGAGACATTCGATTTATGCACGCTTACGCCTTGAATTATTCGGCTACTTGTTTTTTATTTACAAAAACAAATATTCTAATATAGTTTTATATAAATGCTATTTTTATTTTAAGAAATATTTGAAGTTAATAGTAATTCGTTAGTTTCCCTCTTTTAAAACACTGGTTATGAATGCATCACCCTCAACTTCTTCACCAACTTCAAAGATGCGCCAGATTCCATTTCCCTGCCGATGGCAGAAAATTACATGCTCACATAGTCAAGATTGGCTTAGACAATTGCTCGCTAAAGCTTTGCAACAATCTCATAGATATGTATGGCAAATGTGGCCTCCTAGATAACGCAGTCCAACTGTTCGATGAAATGCCTCAAAGAGATTTAGCTTCATGGGCCTCAATTTTTACTGCACACAACGAAGCCAACCAACACCAAAAGACCCTTTCCCTCTTTCCCAACATGTTTTTGGATGGTCTTTGGCCTGACCATTTTGTTTTTGCTAGCATTGTTAAGGCTTGTGCTAACTTAGGGACTTTGAAAGTTGGCAAACAAGTGCATGCTCAGTTCTTGAAATCAGAATTTTCTCATGATGATGTTGTTAAGTCTTCTATGGTTGATATGTATGCAAAATGTGGATTGCCTGATAATGCAAAAACTGTTTTTGACGCGATCTTGGTTAAGAATATGATTTGTTCATCTGCAATGATATCGGGGTATGCACGTGTTGGGAGGAAAGATGAAGCTTTTGAGCTACTAGGAAAGTTGCCAGTGAAGAATTTGCAATGTTGGACTGCTTTGATATCTGGGTTTGTGCAAAATGGGAACTTGATTGATGCCATTGATGTTTTTCTTGAAGTAAGAAGAGAAGGTGTCGATATGAAGGACCCCTTTATTCTTTCGAGCATAATAGGAGCTTGTGCTAACTTAGCAGCCCTGCAGCTCGGGAAACAGATTCATCGATTAGTTTTAGGACTTGGTTATGAACTTAGTTTGTTTGTTAGCAATGCCCTTGTGGATATGTATGCAAAGTGTAGCGATATTGTGGAAGCAAAGAGGATGTTTGATAGTATGTTGACAAGAGATGTTGTATCTTGGACCTCAATTATTGTCGGGATGGCACAGCACGGGCAAGCTATTGAGGCGTTATCTTTATACGATGAGATGATCTTGGCTGGCGTTAAGCCAAATGAAGTAACTTTTGTTGGATTAATCTATGCTTGTAGTCATGTTGGATTGGTCAGTAAAGGTCAGAGTCTATTTAAATCCATGATTGAAGATTATAAATTAAGTCCTTCTTTGCAGCATTATACATGCTTATTAGATCTGTTTAGTCGATCTGGTCACCTCGAGGATGCTGAGAACCTTCTTAACACAATGCCATTTCAGCCTGATGAAGCTGCTTGGGCTGCTTTATTGAGTGCTTGTAAGCAACACGGAAATACTGAAATGGGAGTTAGGGTCGCCAATCGCTTACTAATTCTCGGACCAAAAGATCCTTCAACTTGTATACTGCTGTCAAATACTTATGCTGGTGCAGCTTTGTGGGACAATGTATCTAAGTTGAGGAAGCTGCTGGCAAATTTGGAAATTAGGAAAGAACCTGGCTACAGTTCTATTGATTTGGGAAAAGAAACTACGACATTTTATGCTGGAGAGGCATTGTATCATATGAAGGATGAGATATTTGCACTGCTAAAGGAATTTGATTCCGAGATGAGGAAGAGAGGTTATATTCCCGATACCACGTTTGTTTTGCATGATATGGAGCAGCAGGAGAAGGAAAGGCAGCTTTTTTGGCATAGTGAGAGATTGGCTGTGGCTTATGGACTTCTGAGAACTGTTCCTGGATCAGTAATAAGGGTGGTGAAAAACCTTCGGATTTGTGGTGATTGCCACACAGTTATTAAATTTATATCAAGCATTACAGGTCGTAAAATTATCGTTAGAGATGCTAATAGATTCCATCACTTTGATAAGGGGATATGTTCATGTAATGACTTTTGGTGATTGTGTCTCCAACTGTTGAGTATGTGTGTTCCTCTATATTTGGCAAGCTGTACATTATTTGACATCCATCGTTGGAGACTCTTTCAAATATGGGCAGCCAGACGGACCTCTTTCAAATATACCTGTGCTTAAGGTATCTAAAGCTGGTGGTGAGTCTTTAACTTGCTTTCAGGTGTTTCAATGTGCATTCTTCGGACGTGATCTTGTATCTACCATGAAGAGTGAAACTATTTCTATTGAATACAAGGAAATTTTTGACTTGGTAGACACTGGAAAGAAGATAAAGGCGATGATCATACTTTGTTTAACCCCTATTATGTTACATTGCTTTGAACTCTTCATAACCTTTGGAGAACTCACTCCAATTTCCTGAGTTTTCTATAGCAGGAGATATCTATAGTATGGGAATGTAACAAAATACCTATGAATTTTAGTGAAAGAGTTATTCCTCAAGACACCTGAATCTACAACTTTGATTATCAATTAGGGAGGTCCAAGAATGGAATAATTGGTATATCGATAAATTAAAAATGAAAAAACACATGGAATAGGGGAAAATAGCAACAACAATTACATCTTCCAAAATTGAATGTAATTTTTTTTATTCAGGAGACAATATTACATGTTTATTAAACAAGTTTTTGGTACAAAACAACAACAGTAGTTATTTGCCTCCAAATACTGGTTTTACATCCTCATACATATACAGTTTCTATTAGATGCATTCAATTTCAACCACTATATTATCATTACAAACACATTTTTTAATGGAAAAGTAATCTGAAAACCCATTCGTGGTTGTAATTCAGATCTTGCAGCTTTTATAGAAAAAATAGTGAGGGGATTCCAGAGGGAAGAATCATTTGTACAAGTTCTCAATTTGCTCTTTGTATAGAGCTGCAATTTTGTCTCTCTTGATTTTCATGGTTGGTGTTAGTAAGCCACTATCAATCTGCATGCCAAAAAAGATAGTCCAAGATATAGAAATAGTCTAAATATTAAGTCAAATCAAATTGCCAAAGAGGTACAGTTAATAAATAGGTACCGTGAAAGGTTCATCGACAATAAGGATAGGTCCAACTTGAAATGAGCAACCTGAAGTCCTGCATTTTCACGAAAGATGGCAAAGATTTTTCTCTAATTGGAACTGAAAATAAAATACTGATAGGATACGAGTAGGAACACGAAGGGGAGCCATGGCGTAACTGGTAAAGTTGCTGCCATGTGACCAGGAGATCATGGGTTCGAGCCGTAGAAACAGCCTCTTGCAGAAATGCAAGGTAAGGCTGCGTACAATAAACCCTTGTGGTATGGCCCTTCCCTGGATCCCGCGCATAGGGAGAGCTTAGTGCATATAAGAGGGTTAATTGGTGATTCGTTGCATCGTTTACACATTTCCATCGGGAAGTGGATAAAGAAGTTTCCTGATATACAATATCCAAGGGAATGGTTCAATGTAGAAGTGGCAAGTCTGTACCATTTTCTTAACTCCTCATATAATATGCCAACTGCTTTTTCCTTGCTAACTTCAGTGGTTTCAGAATCCACAATAGCTGATTTTTTAGCTGCTAACAGAACCTCCTCCTTATTTGGTACAATTATAGCTCCAAGACGTCGTTGATCCTACATGTTACAGATGTCAAACTTGCGCAACGTGAGAGAAAATCTTAATAATGCACTCGATGACAATTTACCTGGCCAATGACAACAATCTGCTGGATCAGACTACTTCCCATTGCAGCTTCTTCAATCTCTGATGGTTCAACATTCTCGCCTAGTTTTTCCCCAGAAGGCGAATACATACAAAGAAAGTTCAAAGCTCTGAATTGCAATTATAATAAGGCCAACCTCATTGCAGTTTACGAAGAGAAAAATCATCTATGATAATAATCACTTAATAGAGGCCCTAATCATCTATGTTCACATGCATTCACAACAACTACTGTGCTTCAATACCAAGCTAGTTGCGGTCAGCTATATGAATCCTCATTGTTCAAGTAGCTCGGTTACGCTTGTTTTAATCCAATCTTATAACTATTAGTTTCTCTAACGTTAAAAGTTCTCTACATTTATCTATGAATGTCTAAGAAGACTAAAGACCGAAACAAATGTTGGACTAAAGTAAACGTACTAACATGACTAAAACTTAATCCCAACTAATTGGATCAATTATAGCTAATCGAATAGTAGCCATAACAAGCTTCAGATCTTTATTCTTTGTACACTATTAGTCAATTGCTAGTTTCTATGGAATCTATAACTTCTTTTATCATGGTGGTGTGGACATTCTATAGGTTACCTGCTACCTCTCACAAGCACA